AATAGTAATAATGATAATAATAATAATGATGATGACGATGATTATGATGATGATAATAATAATAGTAATAATAGTCTCATCATCATCATAGTCATCATCATCACAATAATAATGATAGTAAAAATAATAATTATAACAATAACAAAAGTGATGATGATGATAATGATGCTATAGATCATGATGATTATGATGATAGTGATAACAGCAATAGATACAATTTTTTAAAAAGATTTTATAATAACGCTAACTACCCGAGTAAGTCAAAAAGTAAAGCAAGTTCATTTATAACTTAAAGAAAAAAGAACACACCTTCAACAATGATACCTTAAATTGAAGGGGAGCATCTGAGGATCAGATTTTTATTACTCAGCATAGTCTCCATTTCGTTCAATAGCCACTGTCCGCCTTTTACTAAGTCACTTATGCCTGCTTCGTAAAACTAAGCAGGTTGGTCGTAGGGGTACAGCTGTCCTGATTTCTCCATCGTTTCCATAGTGTTGACCTCTCCATGGTTCTTTTCTAGGACCAAAAAGGTGGAAGTCTAAAGGAGCTAAATCAGGAGAATAAGTTGGATGGGGCAGTGTTTTCCACATAAATGGGGGGATGATCTCCCTTGTTCTGGTACTCGGGCATTGTCATGGTGAAAAACAATTCTTTCCAGGTTCAAATTTGATCGGACTCGTCGAATTTTCGCTTTCCGTCGTTTCAAAGTTTCAACGTAGGGTTCAGAATTGACAGCTGCTCTTCATGGGAGGTTTTTTTCCAAAAAATCTGAGAGTAGCACACTACGTCCCAAAACACAATTGCCATGATTTTTCTGGCTGATTCCTCGGGACGATGCTTGTCTGATGAGCGTATGGACAATCTTCCTCTTCTTCCGGTCCATTGCACATATATCTGACCCACCATCATCACAGACTAAAAAATTCGCCTTTTTCTTGTTTTGTTTTTCTTGGGGCATAACAATTTGCAGCATGTCAACACAGTATTATGTAACATACACTTATCGGCACCTAAATGGGGACACGGAACAAACAAGGGGAGATAAATATTAGATAATCTCGCAGTGTTAAAACCTCATGCACTCCATGTGATACGGCTGGGGCTGAAACGAACAAACGTCTTTGATAAACTTGAACAGAGGCGGGACTGAGAAAGAAATACTAGGATGATGAGAAATTTTTAGAGCATCTGCGTGAAGACAAAAATGAAAGGAGAATCATGATCTCAAATGTCTGACTCAGATCTAGCATGTATTTATAATGATTCTGATAAGACCGTAATAATTTTCTGTTCTACAGATGTAACAAAACCTGAGGATGAATCGACCCTTTTCATCGTTGGAGTCATCCTGTGTGTCATTGGAGGCATATTACTTGTTGCTGCGTGCCTCACATGGAGAAGGTGAAGTAAAATACCAGTAACCAGAACAAAATGAAAATAAAAACACTAACAAAAATAATAATACTAATAATAATCATTATAACAATAACATAAATATTAACAATAATAATAACAATGAA